TCGGCAAACTCATTAGTCAACAAAGCCAAATATCAACAGTATAACGATTGAAATTTCTTTTGAGAACCAAATTATTTTAAACTTAAACTATATAGTAGGGACACTGTTATTAACTTAATTAGGGTACTCCTAAACTGGCCTTTGCTAAAAACTCAAGGAGCTAAAGAGCTGCATGTGGCTCAAGAGCCGCAGTTTGCCAACCACTGACCTAGGAGATCACAATTCCCTTTCTTGTCAGGGGACATGCACAGGTTGTCAGCTGAATCTTCTGAGTGTGTGTGTGTGTGTGTGTGTGTGTGTGTGTGTATGCAGGAAGCAGCTGATCAATGATTCTTATTATTCATGATTCTTATTATTCATGTTGAGGCATAGTAGCATTCATCTGGGGTAAAGACTGCTGTTTAAATTTTAACCCTGCTATTCTGGCTTCTGTAATTATTTGCTTGCTAAAATAATAGAAGTTATGTTGATCTCTTGAACTTATATAATTCAACCCATTCGATTGTATATCACATTGATTATGATCTTCAAAAGACATTCTTTGGCACCTGCTTTAATTGCTTCAATGGCTCCAGAAAATGTTTTCTGTTGACTCAGTGGCTCCAAGACCCAAAACTATAATTAATCTTTGTAGATAACTAACTTGTTCAATTTAGCTTCTCTAAGATACTGCTTTCGCAAACCAGTTCTTCATTCTAAACCTAAGGTTGTAATTGCTGCCTTTGTGATTTTTTGCCTTTATAATCCTAATGCTATTTCCATTCAGGGATGAGATTTGGAGTGTTAAGGCCCCCACATAGCTGCAGGTTTTTGAATAAATGACTCCTTAATTCGACTCGTTGGGTATCCCTTGTGCGATTCACGGGGAACTCTACAACAATATTTCTATGGCTCTCGTTCTCTTCCTCTCTGAAATCAATAAAAAATGTTTTAAATATAAATAAATAAATAAATAAATAAATAAATAATTTAAAAAAATAAATAAATAGCCCAGACCCATGTCAGTCAGTGCTGAGGATGCCTGCCTGTACACTGGAAGGTCAAGGGTTCCATTCCCAGTAAGGGACAGGTACGTGGGTTTCAGATTCAATCATCCCCTCTTAGTGGGGACACGTGGGAGAAAACCAATTGATGTTTCAATCTCTCTCTCCTTCTCTCTCTCCCTGTCTCTCTTTCTCTCTCCCTCCTCTCTCTGTCTCTCCCTGTCCCTTCCTCTCTCTCTAAGAAAACAAATATTAATGAAAAAAATATTCACACTATTCAGGTGAAGATAAAAGAATAAAAAATGGAATTCAGAAAAGTTACTGGAGAAGAGATTTTCCATGGTGGTGTATGCAAAGGCCTATACTTGCTGCCTCCCACAATCAAGTTAAAATTGCACTCAAAATACAGAAGTAAAGAAGACAGCACAGACTGGTAGGTGGTACAGAGACACACAGAAGATGCTGGTCCTATCCCCATGTGGGCCACTTTTCTAATTAGGAAGGAGGTCGTCTCTGCAGAGGTAACCTGGAGGAGCAAGGGGTCCAAGTTCCACTCCAGATGCCCAGCCCAGGGTGAGCTGGGAAAACAAGTCTCTACTGACTGTAAGAACTACGGCTATAAACACCAAGGCGGATTGGGGCTCAGGGACACGGAGGCTACAAGAGACCCAGCTGCTCTTCTTATAATGCCAGCACCAGGAACTGAACTTACAAGCTCCTGCTTCCTCTGACATCCTGGGCCTGGAGAGTCTGGTGGGGAGGGGCAGATAAAGAAAGGTATGAGGAGAAACTAGACTGAATGGAGTTTGGGCAAGAATTCAAGGGTGGATTTCTACCAGACAAGCTGAGACATCCCAGGTCCCAGGTCTGACAACCATTTTGGTTTGCTCTCCCCTGGTGATTCCCTGAGACATTACCGTATCTAATTTACAACTCCACCCAAGCTGTGTGCAGCAGCATTTGTATATGAATGGCCTGTCCTCGCTCAGAATAAAACATGTATGATTTAAGTTTCAGTTGGTCATTTTCAAATGCAATACAAAAAGGAGAATCTGCAAATCTCTCTGTAGATCCTGCTGGGTGGTGCCAGGCAAGAGCTGACTTTACACCCCCCTGGAAACCCAAGAGCCAGTGTACCCAGTGGTCAGTGTCATATCATACCAGCTTACAATTCTTTACATCCATAAGTGACACACTCACTTGGAGCAGACACACTGAGCACCAAAGCCCCACTGAAGCAAGTCCTGCTCCATAGGGGTGTCTCCTGCAAAGAAGTTCTCACACTGTAGTCACAGTAACCCCCAAAGATGCTAACATCCTCAAAAAAACTCTGGCAAATCAGATTCAGCATTACATTAAAAAGGTCATACACCATGACCAAGTGGGACTTATTTGGGGGAGGAAAGAATGATACAATACCTAAAAATCAATAAATATGATACACCACATAAACAAACTTAAAGATAAAAACATCATATCAATTGATGCAGAAAAAAAATTAAACAAACATTTGAAAGCATCAAAGACTCTTTCTTGCTAAAAACTCAGTAAAGTGAGAGTACAGGGATCATACCTCAACATAATAAAAGCCTTACATGACAAACCTAGAGCCAACATCATACTCAATGGGGAAAAACTGAAACCATTTTCCCTAGGAACAGGAACAAGACAGGAATGCCCACTTTCACCTCTCCTGTTTGATATAATACTGGCAGTGCGAGCTATAGTGATCAGACAAGAAGAAATGAAAGGTATCCAAATTGGAAAAAAAAGAAGTAAAACTGTCATTATTCACACATGACAAGATATTGTACAAAGAAAACCCTAAAGACTCCATAAAAAAAGTACTAAAGCTGTGAGCTGTTTGGCTCAGTGGATAGAGTGTCAGTCTGTAGATTGAGGCATCTCAGGTTGGATTCCAGTCAAAAGCATGAGCCTTGGTTGCAGGCACATCCCCAGTAGGGGGTGTGCAAGAAGCAGCTGGTCGATGTTTCTCTCTCATCGCCGTTTCTAGCTCTCTATCTCTCTCCCTTTCTTTCTGTAAAAAAATCAATAAAATATATTAAAAAATATATATTTTATTTCTGAGAAAACCGGTTTGGCTCAGTGGATAGAGCGTAGGTCTGCGGACTGAAAGGTCTCAGGTTCGATTCCCGTCAAGGGCATGTTCCTTGGTTTCATGCCCATCTCCAGTGGGGTGTGTGTGTGTGTGTGTGTGTGTGTGTGTGTGTGTGCAAGAGGCAGCTGATCGATAATTCTCTCTCATCAATGTTTCTAAATTTCTATACCTTTCTCTTCCTCTCTGTAAAAAATCAATAAAATATATTTAAAAAATAATAAATAAAATAAATTTTTAAAAAATACTTTATTTCTAAGCACCAGTAACAAGCAACTGAGCTTCTTAGAAAAATGGTGCCACTAGATCTGATGAACACAAGGTTGTCAAAAATGTGGACTTTGTAGAAAAGCAGGTGTGGGAGAGTAATATCAGGAAAGGACAATTAAGCACATACAACAATATGTGTTCCTGTAAACCATAATAATTAATATATAAAATATACAAGGTAGTCAAAAGAATTTTTAACCAAAAAGAATACAGTTAATAAACAGGATAAGAAAGTAAAGACAACTCTTTAAAAAATAAGTACAAATGATCAACAGGAATACAGAAAACTAGAGGCCCAGTGCACGAAATCAGTGGGGGGGGGGGTCCCCTCAGCCCAGACTTTCCCCTTTTAATCTGGAATGCTTTCCTCACTGATCAAGGTGGAATCCCTTAGGCTTCCTGCAACACTACCAAGTCCTTCCCTGTGAATGTAGTCCAGCCGGGAGAATTGGGACTTTAGGAATAGAAGGGAGCAGTGGAGACAGACCAATCCTCCCAAGGACACCAACTACCGAGGAAACTAGAAAATCAAGCAGAACCACAGTCTACATGGGAGGACACAGCACACCCTGGGGAATGGGACCTGGGAAATCCCAAAGCCAAGTCCAGGTCACTGGTGAGAGTGAGGGTCTTACCCAGCGAGGATACAAGTTCAAAGTTCTCCAGCATCACATTCAGGTACAACTGTCTCTGACCCTCATCAAGGAGGTTCCATTCCTCCCTGGAGAAGTACAGGGCAATGTCCTCAAAGGTCACACCAACCTGTCAGAATGGAGACAATTGAAACCAAAGCTGTCTCTCTGAGAACCCCCACTCCTACTCCTCACACACATTTCTCCCTCCCTCCCCCCAACTTCCTCCAGGGCACCCGGTTAGTGTGGACATCAGGCCCTAATGTCAGTGCAGGCTGCTCTCTCATCACAATCCCATTACTCACTGGGATTGCCCTCAGCAGTGCTGCTGGGTTGGGTGGGAAGGATTGGGGGAGGGGAGAGAGCAATGATATTTAAGGTCTGGGTGATGCCTGCAGGGCCCCAGACTTCCTGCCACCCAATACCACTGGAGTCTCCTAGACCATGTCTACAAGACACAGCCAAGCTTGCGTTTAAGCTTCTTTAAGTCCCCACACCAGGTCCCGGGGACCATCAGCTCACACTTCCTCCAGATGTGCACACACTGGGTACTGTTTATCCCCTTTCCATCTTCAGTGCCGGGTTCACTCCCTCAGCTCTGCCCCCTTCCTGCTCCAATGCCCCCGGACCTCGCTGGACTCCCCCATGCGCTTGGCACAGGCTGTCGGGAGCGCTTGGATCCCAGCCGGGTCCACGCCAACCCGGGCCCCTGCTGGACCCCGCAGCCCAGAAAGCCCGGATGGAGCCTGCGACATCCTCCCTGCAGCCTCCGATCTTTGCTTCATCACTGACCACCCACCTCCGCGTGGGAACCTCAGAGGCCGGTCGCCCCTGTCCTCTCCGCCCCGCACTGGCTGTGTCCTCAGAAGCCACCGCGCCCCTCCCTCCCCTCCGCCTTCCTCACGGTCCTCCCCGCGGGCGGAGCTGCAGGAGGGACAGGCCCGCACCGGGCTGTGGGTGCGGGGTGAGGAGGCGGGGGCCTGGGGGACAGGAACTCACCTCAGCGAAGCTCCTCAGCGCGGGCGCCGCCATCGCGCTCTGTGGGCCGCGCGGGGCGGGGGCGGCGGGAGCGGAAGCCGCGGCAGGAATGGCGGGGCCTGTCCCGGCCCTGGCGGGGGTCCGGGCGGTGACTCCGTCCATGGGCTGTGAGGCGGGAACACCTCTTCCCACTCTTCCCCGGGACTCCGAGCCCAGAAACTCCAAACCGCCTGAGACAAAAGTTATCAGAGGAAAAAATCCCGCCACAAGGACTACAGGTCCCGCCCCACAACAGTGACCAAACGGAAACGCCTTCTCTGAGCCCCCATTGGCTACGACTGTTGGCATTCCTTGCGTGGCCTTGTGGGTAATGTAGTTTCTCTGCTAGAAGGCCAGGGTCCTGTTACTGAATTCCCTGACAATTTAAAGGTATGTTATCCTTTCCAAAACCAGTTTGGCTCAGTGGATAGAGCGTAGGCCTGCAAAATGAAAGGTCCCAGGTTCAATTCCAGTCAAGGGGATGTACCTTGGTTGGGGGACACATCTCAGCTGGGGGTGTGCAAGAGGCAGCTGATCAATGATTCTCTCATTGATGTTTCTAATTCTCTATTTCTCTCTCTTCCTCTCTGTAAAATATCAATAAAATATATTTTAAAATAAATAAATAAATAAATAAACGTATGTCATATTTGATCCATAAGACAATAGACAGGCTCAATAACGTAACAACAAACAACTGGAACATACTTAACCCTGTGACTAACTTTTATTTAGATATTTTTAACTTCAAACTATCTCATATGGTTACTTTTGGCCTCTAAGTTTGTAAGATTCACCATGCCATGCCAGGCTCCCTGAGCTTCCTAGGTTTAGTATATGCCATCATTTTTGTCCTCACCAGGGAATGAGAACCTTTGAGTTGAGGAGAAAATTCAATGAATGGTTTATTTCCCGCCAGATCCATTGTTCACATCCTCCTGAATATAATTCTCTGAGGATTGCTGGTGTGCCTTTATTTGGTCTTCTAGAAGTATTCACTCTTCTGGTCACTAAAGCCCTCAGTTCTAAATGTGGTGGAGGTATTTGTAAGGACAAGAAAAAAGGCATTTCTGTTTCTTTGCTGTGGCCTTCCCCAATTTATGAGAAGTACCTGCTAATTAAACACAAAGACTTCTAGCTCCTCTAATTCAAACAGCTCCTTTGTTCAAACTGCTGAAGCATAGAAGTTACTTTTAAGGCTACATTCTTTTTAAAAATATATATTTTATTGATTTTCCACAGAGAGGAAGGGAGAGGGACAGAGAGTTAGAAACATCAATGAGAGAGAAACATAGATCAGCTGCCTCCTGCACACCTCCCACTGGAGATGTGCCCGCAACCAAGGTACATGCCCTTGACCGGAATGGAACTCAGGACCCCCAAGTCCACAGGCCGACGCTCTATCCACTGAGCCAAACCAGTTAGGGCTTCAAGATCATTCTTGCTCTCTTTCATGAAGGGAATTAGCCCGGTTCGCTAATGAAATTTCTGTCTATGTTTGTACAGTAGAGACCTTCATTTGCTCTGCCCCGATTTATGATTTTGTTATGATAGATTAAAAATTTAAAACTCTGAACTTAATTTAAAGGGATAAAATTTGTAAAGGTTACAACCCAGAGACTTTTAAACAAAGGCTTGTGGGATTAAGATTGGTACATTTTCTCATGTCCTGTGTGGGGCGAGGGGGAGACTGCATGATCATAATTTTTCAGCCCTTCTATCAAGCAGAGAATCCATGTGGTCTCGATATCTGTGACCTGCCTGCCCTTCCTGATGGATTTGCAGTGGGTCTCCATTAAAGACAGCATCTGCACTGACTGGGGGAGGAAGAGAAAGCTGAAAACTGCTTCGGAGTGGGTATGAGTTGGGGTAGTGGTGGTGGGATTCACTGGATAGGGTAGTAGACTCTCACCCTGCTGAGATGGAGGAGCCCCACTGATGTCCATTTTCCCTAAAAGAATTGAGAGCCATGCTGAAACCTGTTTGGCTCAATGGATAGAGAGTAGGCCTTTGGACTGAAGGGTCCCCAGTTCGTTTCCGGTCAAGGGCATGTGCCTTGGTTGCCGACACATCCTCAGTAGGGGTGTGCAAAAAGCAGCTGATCGATGATTCTCTCTCATCGATGTTTCTAACTCTGCCCCTCTCTCTTCCTTTCTGTAAAAAAAAAAAAAAAAAAAAAAAAAAATCAATAAAATATATTAAAAAAAAAGAATTGAGAGCCAGGATCCTTGAGGGAATATATTGGGCTGTTAGACTCAAACAGAGCAAGGACAATGGGCCAACAAGCTCTACCAATGGTAACATAAGTCTTTCCACCTCTACGTGTGTGAGACAAGGGACATAAGCAAAGGGGTTCTTACCCAAAGTCTTGGCCCCTAAAAAAAGGCTGGTAGCCTACTTACCCAAAATAGTTGACCTCATTTTTTCTACGTAGCCCACCTGCCTCTGGACAGTAGCAGCCGCTATTATACTTGTTAAGGAAGCAGACGAAGCAGCCCGGGAAGCTGCCCTAAAACCAGTGGGGCCTCAACAGATTCTAGTGACTCATCCAGACCCTGACCTATCCACCTCACCAGCTTACATGGAAACTCAATCTAGAAAAGATGAAATCCATAAGCAATTTTTACTCAAGTTCTTTTTAAAAATATATATATTTTATTGATTTTTTACAGAAAGGAAGAGAGAGGGATAGACGGTTAGAAACATTGATGAGAGAGAATCATCCATCAGCTGCCTCTTGGACACTCCCTACTGCGGATGTACCCGCAACCAAGGTACATACCCTTCTCGGAATTGAACCCAGGACACGTCAGTCAACAGGCCAATGCTCTATCCACTCAGCAAACCGGTTTCAGCTTTATTCAAGTTCTTACAGGCTTTGCAGTCCACCCAGGAAGAAGTCCAGAAACACATATGAGACGCTCTGCCCACACCAACTTCTGTTCCGGTCCATCCCATCCAACCTGGTGACTCTATTTAGGAGGCAGTTGATCAATGTTTCTCTCCCATCAATGTTTCTAGCTCTCTATCCCTCTTCCTTCCTCTCTGTAAAAAAAATCAATAAGATGTATTTTTTTAAAAATAGAGCCAGTGCAAATAAACTATCATAGAATATAAGTAATGCAGTTATTTGCAGGTTTTAAATATTTCTTACAACTTTTGCCGTAACTGGTTTGGCTTAGCGGTAGAGCGTGGTCTGCAGACTGAAGGGTCCCAGGTTCGATTCCGGTCAGGGGCATGAATATTGGTTGCGGGTGCATCCCCATTAGGGGATGTGCAGGAGGCAGCTGGTCGATGTTTCTCTCTCATCGATGTTTCTGGCTCTCTATCTCCCTTCCTCTCTGTAAAAAATCAATAAAATATATTTTTTTAAAAATAAAAATAAAAATAAATATTTCTTACAACTTTTGTGACATCCTGCTATTAGTACAGTTTTAGAAATATTATACTTACAATCCTTTTATTCTTAAAAAATTGTTTACTGCAGGTAATATTATTATATGTAGCATCATTTTCCTTGAATTCGCTAGGACAGTGGTTACCAATCTTTCAGTCCTCACAGACCATGAGTGGTCCATGAATGACTAGTTGGTGACCACTGCCCTAGGATGTGGTGCTTGAAAATACCTCACACACTGGAGGAAAAATGCCAAAAGGTACAACCAGTTTATTTCAAAGGAATAGTTTATTCATTTTTAAAATATATATTTATTAACTTCAGAAAGGAAGACAGAGACAGAAGCAAAATTATGAGAGAGAATTATTGACTGGCTGCCTCCTGCATACCCCATACTGACCTGGAATTGACCCATGACCACCTGGTTCATACGTCAAAGCTCAATAACTGAGCCATACCAGATGGGCAATTTTATTAATTTTTGGAGAGAGGAGAAAGGTGAGGGAGAGAAACACAATGCAAGAATGCAACATAAACCAGCCACCTCCTGCACACTCCATTCAGGGAACCTAGCCCACAAACCAGAGACACGCCAAGCAATTTAACAAGCCACCCTCTATACATGGGATCACACCCAAAAAACTGAACCACAGCATCCATGATGATATATTCAGTTTAGACCACAATGTGCTAATCTTTGTAAATTGAAACATTCAAATACTTGACTCAGATTATGCACTCAATTTTTGACAAAGGTAAATAAAACATATCTACTTAAAGAATTATATAGAAATGTTGATACCAAGTTTATTAGAAATAACCAAATATTCATAAAAATGGATATGCTATTGGTGATATATTCAACAGCAAGAATATTTATCAGAAAAAAATGGGTTGCAAATATATCTTTAATAAAACTCCAAGTATTTATGAAACATAATTAAAGCAGTAAAATACTTAGAAAAAGCAAAGTACTCTATTCAAATGGAATATAAATCCACAGTTATTAGCAAATCTGTGAAGAACAGGGACAGATTATAAGAGGTCATGAAGCAATTACACAGTGACAGATATAGCCAGCATTATGACTATAATGATGGTTTCAGTTTTATGCACACATGAAAATTTGTGAAAAACTATACTAAAAGTATTTTACTCTTTATAGCTTTCAAAAATGTTTCAAGATTTAAAAATGTGTAAATTCAAATATATTGGAAAAATAGGTTGGCAAATCTATAGTCAATCCAACTTCTTATGACCTCTGGGCAAGAATATCGCCTCAGTGACAGAAAATGTAACAAGCAATAAAGAACTTTCACCCAATTGTCCGGCAGGTGTAGCTCAGGGGTTGAGTGTCGACCCAGGAACCAAGATGTCACTGGTTTGATTCTCAGTCAGGGCATATGCCCAGGTTGTGGGCTCAATCCCCAGTGGGGGGCGTACAAAAGGCATCCAATCAATGATTCTCTCTCATCATTTATGTTTCTATCTCTCTTTCCCTCTTCCTTCCTGTCTAAAATCAAGAAAAATATATATTTTTAAAAAAGAACTTTCATCCAAATTAACAAGAATGCTAGCTAAACCACAAAAACCCCGTTTGTAAGAAACAGACACCCTT